ATGTGTAAGCGCAAGCGTGTCTGAGCGTGAGGGTGTCTGTGACCGAGCGAGGGGGAATCGAGAGCAAGGGGGACCGAGACCCCATAGTTCCAGTGTGACTAAGTGACAGTATGACCGAGTGCGACTGTGAGCACCTCGTGTGAGGGTGTCTGTGACAGAGTGAGTGCGACAGACCACATAGTGCGAGTGTGAGCATGGGGCAGAAGAGGGAATGTGACTTTAAGCCGTTTCCTGTGCCAAACAGTAACAAGACAGAAAAACACAGCTGTGCCCCCCCTGCTCACACACCCGAAACAGCTGTGGAGAAGGGCCAACAACACAGGGAAAGTAAAAGGGAATAAAACCCAAATATGGAAGTCTATTTGAGATGATTATAAACAGGGTTGATGGAAACGTGCCCAGGAGCCTGGCTTGACGCTTGCTTTAACTCATGCGTAGCTGTGAAACACTACACAGAGGCCTGATGAGAAAGGCTTTGCGCTCTTCCCACTCGGAAACGGGCTCCATCGCACTCTGTCATATCATTCCCCCCGCTGGTTCAGGACTGCGTGGAGTCCTGCAGCTCAGTGGTTAGAGCACTCGCCTTGAAACGGAGAGGACCCGATTTCCCGGGCGGGTCGAAACCTTAAGCAAATTTCCTGACTCCACAAACCCCTGTTGGCCTGCAAATTCCACCTGGAGAGACCCTCCAGTTCCTCTCCACCTGAAATTCCACCTCGTCTTTAGCTGACGCACCATCTTCTGTTAAAATTTAAGTTTGTGCGGAATTGCGGTCAAGTGAACAAATGATTTTATCTGGGGTGGGGGGCGGGGAGGGAGGGGGGGTTGTTAGCCAGGACACCAGGAGAAAGCTTTAAACTACCGTGTCTTTTCCCAGCAATGTCATCGGGAGATTTTTAGCGTCCACCTCAACAGGGCACAGACGTGGGGGAGCTCAGTTTGACGTCTCATCTGAAGGACAGAGACTCTGACAAGGCATGCTCCCTCACCCCACTCTCCCCCAGCTAGAGAGGGGGGAAATCAGCCAAGATATCCCAGTTAGCCCCCTTTTCACACACACGTACTGCACTGGAGAGTCAGCCTAGTTCAAAGTCCCACTGATGTGAGGGATGGGGGGACAGGGGCTCGAACCCACAACCCCCTGACCCAGGAGGAGAGGGCGAGAGTGGAGAGAAACTGGAGCGTCTCTCAAGGGTTAAACTCACTGGGTTTCCTTGGCTTCCCAGAAAGCAGAACAGAATCATCTCTGGAAAGTCCCAGGACTTGAGGGGAAAAGATTTCTGAGGGGAGGAAAAAGGATTCCTGGAATGAGGGGCACGAGATCGTGTTCATTCTCGGACCCTGAGCCTCGGCTGCAGAGAGTGATTGAGGGGCCAAGTCTCAGAGGAGCCAGGCCAAGGCCAAGGCCAAGCCCCTGGGAAAAGGCGGAGATGCTCTCCCAGCTTGGGAAAATTGTGTTGCCAGAAACCAGACACTCAACCAGACCTTGCCAAAGACGTGGTGCTTCTGTTTCAGAGAGAACTTAAGCAACGCAAGGCTAAAACTTGCCTTGTTTCCCAGCTGTTACTCATTCCTCAGGCTCTTAAGTTGCCATGACGCTCAATCTCGCTCCATTTCTCTCTTTCTCTGTCTCTCCCTCTGGGTCAGGAGGTTGTGGGTTCAAGCTCCCACAGCAGGGGAATGAACTTTCAGCCCACCGCACAGGCTGAAGCTTCCTCCAGGGCAGAGATGGGTGGGAGCGTTCCATTATCGGAGGCGCTGCCTAAGGACAAGACCTTAAATTGAACTCCCATCCTTCTGCTTGTTTGGGGGACGTTAAAGATTACACAAAGCAAATACACACACAATCTCCCAGATAAAACCGGTCATTCGCCTCTGGGCTATTCGTGGGACCTCGCTGTGTGCAATCCTGGCTGCCACGTTTCTTACAAATGCAACCAATCCCTTGTGGAGTCGCTTAGGGTAGTGGTTACCGCGCAATCGAGAGGACCCGGGTTCGATTCCCAGTGAGGCGAAACCTTTGGCAAGTTTCCTTACTCCACACACACACATTCTCTGTTTACCAAGCAGTAACTAGGAACCCGAGTGTTAGTCGATTAGTGGATAGCTTTCCAGCGGTAGTAATCCTCCCTCCCACCTTCCCCCCCCAAAAATGTGGTCACTTCAATCCACGACTGTTTGCGGGACACTGCCGTGCGCAATTGGCTGCCGCGTTTCACCCGCAAAGTACACAGTCACTCCACTTCACAGTATATTTGAGGCGTCTCAACGACACGGGATAAGGCTCCATATCAGACGCGAGGATTATTCTTATTACGTTTGACAGCGAATGAGTCCTTTATTTCTGGCGAGTTACAGAGAGAGAGAGAATATAGTTAGTCCACGTCCTGTTCCCATTACACACACACACACACACCTTCCCCACACTAACAGCCCCGGAGGAAACACCCAACCTTTCCTGACAGGGACCGACCTTCCTCTGCGAGGCTGACCCGACGTTTCCTCTCACAGAGCAGCTCAAACGAGACAGAAAAACTATAGTGGAACGACTGACTGGTTCTGACTCTCACCCCCCCAACCCCTGCCCGTAACAGACAGAAATAGAGTAAACGGGTCCATAGACAACAAGCAGCGCTAGAGACGAGGGAAATCAGCGAGGGAGGGGGGATTGGGGGCAAGATATCATAGTGCTCCCCACCCTCCTCGTACGCACACACACACGTACATTTGACAGCAATGTATCACAGTGGCTAACCCCCCAAACACACACACACACACGTACAACCCATCACCCCACACATACACGCACCCACAACTCCTGCCCGTCTACACAGACACACACACACACACACGAGTAACATCCAGGAAGTTCAAGGTCTCCCCCCACACGGACACTTGATTGTCGGGTCACACCCCCCGGGGTCACGGTCCCAAAGGTCAGCAGTGGGATACACTTCGGGTTCCCAGGAGATGGGGTGGGGGGGGGGGAAGGTGGCCTGTGCCTTTAATTAGCGAGCGCTATCTCTACGATGACCTGATGAATGAACGGGTAATCCTGATCCTGATCCCATCGGGTGCATCAGCAACAGTATCAGTCCGGAATGTCACAGCTTTATCTCGTCTCCATCAGGCCTGCCTCGTCTCTGCTCAAGCATGGCACAGCCACAGCACGGAGGTTACGTGTGGACACACACACCCACACAGGTGACAGGACTCCGCGGCTCCGAGCCTAGAGACACCCACCCCCACCCCATCGGACTGAGCCCCAGTCAGCACAGCCCACCCTTATCCCTGTAAGTGCTCCGAGATGCTACCCCGTGTGAAGGGCGCTATATAAATGCAAACTGTTGTTGTGGTGTAACCTACCTCTGTATATCCACAACCTACACAGTCACTACACTTTACACTATATGCTGTGAAGCTCTTTGAGACGTCTCAAAGATGTGATAAGGCGCTGTGTCAAATCCAAGGATAATTATTATGATTATTTTATTAGTAACACTGTCCTTTCATAGCTACAGCAAGTATCTGGCACAGCCCTGACTGTATATGTCATACATCAGACACAGCGCTCACCGTAACCACACACAGACTGGTTGCAATACTCACTCACAGTCTGCCCTGGGATTCTCTCTCTCACAAGCACAGTGGGTGCGAATCTGGCCAAAAGGCATCCCTTTGGCAACTGTGCTTTACATCAATGGGGAGGGGATGGAGTGGAGGAACCTATTACAGGAACGACCCAGGTTCCCTGTTCCACATTCACCAGGTGCCTCCACTCTTGAGCCAAACCTCCTCTCCGCCCACCCACAAGGATACCTGGCCAGGGCTGGGAGCTCAAAGTTCCTGATATGTGTGTGTACACACATGTGTGTCAATCCACAACTGTTTGTGGACCCTACTGTGCGCAATTGGCTGCCGTGTTTCTCCCACAAAATATTACACTTTACAGTGTACCCTGTGAAGTGCTTTGAGACCTCTCGAAAACTGGATAAGGCGCTGTATCAAATTCAAGGATTATCATCATTTATTCTTATTGTACGCGTGTGTGAATATGTGTGTGGGTATATGTGTGTATGTGTATACGTGTGTGTGTGTGCGTGCGTGTGTGGGCGTGCATTTGTGTGTGGAGCGGGTTTCCCAGGATGATATCTTGATAGCTCACCCACACATCTTCATCACGCCACACACTCACACGCACAAAGCCAGGTATGTAACCAGCCTGCTGGTAACTGAATGGGAAAAGCCGAGGCAGAGTGAGCGCGGTGCGAGTCACACAGCTGCACACAATTACAAGTCAAAATAGACCCTTGAGATCCGAAGCCCCGTGTGATCTCCTTTCCCTCTTGGCTGGTTTTATCAGCTCGGGGAATGTGTGTTGCTGCCCTATCTGAGAGATTGACTCTCAGCACCTGTCAGGGGCCGTTGCATGTCAAAGGGAAATTAATCAGTCTTTCCTGAAGCCAGAGAGAAGTTTACAGAAAGGTACCAGCATCTTCCACCCCCCAACCACCCGGTCCCAGGTGAACAGCTCGCTTGGCTTCACAGCAAATAACTCTCGCTCCCGCCCGGCCTCGTTCCGGACCTTTGTTCTTCGTGAATGCAAACTTTCTTTTGAAGCAGTTTGTTTCAATTGAGAATGGAGGCAGTGAGTATGAATGTACTGTGTCTCCAAACCCTGCCCTGGGAGTGTGGACGCACAGTATAGAGGGAGCTTTACTATGTCTCGAACCCTGATCTGGGAGTGTGTACGCACAGTATAGAGGGAGCGTTACTGTGTCTCTAACACTGACCTGGGAGTGTGGACGCACAGTATAGAGGGAGCTTTACTGTGTCTCGAACCCTGATCTGGGAGTGTGGACGCACAGTGTAGTGGGAGCTTTACTGCGTCCATAACCCTGATCTGGGAGAGTGGACACACACTGTAGAGGGAGCTTTACTCTGCCTCTAACCCGCTCGCATTTGAGGTTTGGTTAAATTAAAAAGTATCCGAAGTCTCATTAAAATTGAAAGAATTAGTTGATTTTTATTTACAATAAAACTTTACAGATATTTTGACAAATCGTTACATTTTACCGTCAGGGGGCTTTGACTGACCCTTCCTCACCGTGATAGTTCCACAGCCACAAAACCTGGGTGAGAAACAGTCTGTGGTCGGGGCAAGACTTGGGCTGTGAAGAGACACACGTTGGATATTTGACTTAATATAAACTCTGATATTTACTGGGGTAAATAGTTGATTACATTTCTTCCCCCGACCATGGTATCAGCAAGCTTACATCATTGGTTGTGACATCAGGGATGGTGTCAGTTGACTCAACCCAACATCCCATATTGATTCCCATCCCCTCCAGAAGTTACATGCAGTGCCACCCCCTGCCTGAAGGAGGCAATGCTAATCACGGCAACTTACTGTGGCAACAAACATTGCCAACTACACCGAGGATTAATGTCTCGATATTCCATGGTCTCCAGGGAGAGTCAAGCACCGTTTACACATCACCCAGGGACAGAATTCCTAGCGGGGGTCAGTCATGAAAGCTCAACTCCCCCACCTCATCCTAAAGTGTCTCCCTCAGTCTCTCCCCATCTCAATGTCCTCAATTCTCAACCTCCCCCCAAAGGTCCACCTTGCTCTACCCTGTCTCCCTCGACCTCAGCCTCCTTCGATCTCCCTCCCAACATACTTGTCTCACCTCCAACACCACAGAGCAGAAAGTCTGAGAGCTGCTATGATATAACGCTCCTCGACTCCACCTGGGAGACCTGTCAGGCAGTCACATATAATAATGAAACCGATGTAAGTTATGATATAAAATTCTGTTGTATTATTCGAGTCAGACACTTACAAAGCGGGAGTGGGAGGTGGGGGGGAGAGGTGGGACACACACACCCTCTGTTCATCTCACACACACGCATGCACACACACACAGTGGGCAGCGACACAGGTTAAAAAGGTACATATTTAGCTTATGTAAGTCCATGCACTCGCCCTCTGTCACACAGTTACACACACTCAGATAGGGCTCAGCATTGTAAAAATACCTCTGGTTATTCACATACGCATACACACACAGACACACAGAGCAGTTTGCGTTGCTGTTCACAGTATTGCACGGCTACTACGTGCCACATTATGTAGTGTCTTGGGTGCTGTGCAGCAGGGACGGACTCGATGTGAGATGGCCGGAAATCCACCAGCCAACCCAGGCCGACAGTACAGGGGGGAAGGGGAGTGTGGCCGAGTGGGGACCTGCCCGCTGGTTCAGGAGCTCGCCTGAAAGGGTGGGATGGACTGGATGAATGAACGCCTGCCGGAGTGGAGGAGGCACGGGCGGGCAGGCGGGCGGTGTTGGTCTGTGGACGTCACCGGTTCCCTTCCCGGCTAACAGGTGGTGTGGTTGGTCTGGATGCCACTGTCCGGCCGGCTCTGACACTCTTTGGTCATTTTCCTCTTGGATTTAAACATGTCCGAGATGTGAAAGGCCTGGAAAACAGGAAGCTCGGTGTTCATACACACACAACTCTGCGGGGCCCAATTGGCACAAAACACACAGTCGCTACACCTTACGGTATATCCTGCGAAGCGCTTTGAGACGCCTCGACGACGTGATAAGGCGCTGTGTCAAATGTAAGGATTATTATTGTTACTACTTGGCAACTCTTTCAAAGAGCCAGCACAAGCATGATGGGCCGAATGGCCTCTTTCTGTGCTGTAAGATTCTATGGTTCTATCACTGCTCCCTCACTCTCACACCTCAACACCCTCGCTCTCTCACACCTCAACACACTCGCTCCCTCACAGCTCAACACACTTGCTCCCTCACAGCTCAACATTCACTGCAGATAAAACAGTGCCACACTAATGTACACTGCTATGTGACCATCCAACACGCCCTGCACATGTTTGCGTGCACACGTATGAGGCAGGTGGTACTCACAATCCAGTAAGCAATGAGCGCCCCCTGCAGGAAGCCCACCAGCACGTCGGACGGGTGATGCCGGTAGTCGGAGATACGGGACAGACCAGTGTAAAAGGCCAACATGATGAGCAAACACTGAATTAGCGGCCTTAGCAGCCGCGCACCTTTCCACGTAAACCGAGCCTGGAGATAAAACTGTGTGAGAGAGAGAGAGAGCGTGAGAGTGAGTAAGTGAGTGAGAGAGTGAGTGAGTGTGAGAGAGAGTAAGACAGAGAGTGAGTGTGAGAGTCTGAGAGTGAGTGAGATAGAGGCGGTGAGCGAGAGAGAGTGTAAGAGAGTGCTCATGAGAGAATAGAGTGAACACGAGATAGAGAGAGTGTGAGGTCGAGCGAGAGAATTAGAGTGTGAGGGGTAGAGTGACAGGCATACACGTGTGTACAAATGCATGTCCAGCCCCGACGGTCACGGGAAGCCACTCACCGCCAGGTAGAGCAGAGCGTACATTGCGAACGAGGCGTGTCCTGAATAGAAGGATTTTCTGGGAGGAAATCAGAGTCTGGGTTAACAACAACAACAACAACAACAACAACGGGCATTTATATAGCGCCTTTCACACGCGGTTGCATCCCAGAGCGCTTAACCTGTCCCTCGTTCCCGATCTCTCTCCCCCCCACCACCCCACCTGTACCCAACCCAATGGAAGGGAGCCTTGAGCTAGTGAGTGGGTGGGGGGGGCGGGGGAGGTTGGAGAAAATAGGCAGCCTTCTGTGGCTGGGGAAGGGTTGAGGGGCCTCTGGTTGAGGGTTTGAGGGGACAAAGAGCAAAGAATTGGGGGGCAGTGAGTGAGGGTTGGGAGGGGCAATGGGTGAGGGATGACGGGGGTAGTGGGTGAGGGCAGCCCCTGGGGGGAGAAGGGGATGGGGAGGAGGCAACGCAGTGAAGGCAGCACAACAGTGAATGGGGGGCAATGGCAGAGGGTGACGCTCTTTCTCTCACACTCTCTCTCTCTCTCTCTCTCTCGTACCGAGCCTCGGTGACGGCTGAGGAGGGGCCGGTGCACACCGGGTCCTGGATGTATCCTCGGGAACAGTTGAATTTGGTGAAGTCGGGTTTGCAGACGGCCAGGAAGTTGGGCCGGAGTCGGCCGACGGCGACCTTGGCCAGGTCGGTGAGAGACTGACTGGTGGCACAGCCAAACAGGAAGCAGCCCACCTGCTTGTAGATGAGCGACAGGTAAGAGTTCCAGTGCAGCGAGCGAGACCGTTTGTGCAGGAAACGGACTCGGTAACATTCACCCAGTGAGATCTGTACAGAGAGAGAGAGAGAGACGACACGTCAAAGACAAAGTGACATTTACGCAACTCCTTTCACGTCGGGAGGACGTCCCAAGGCGCTGGCTGGACAGTCAGGGATTTGGACCCGAGTTGGGGGGTGTGGGGGGGGCGGTTGGGATCAGGGAGGGTGGAGGGCGGTAGGAGGGTAGGGAGTAAGGAGGTTGGCCGAAGGCGCAGTTGGTCCAAGAGCAGGGTCTTGAGACGTGCTTTGAAGTTGGCGAGGGAGGTAGCAGGGCGAAGGTAAAGCGGGATGGAGTTCCAAAGGATGGGGTCAGAGAGGCTGAACGTGGGGTGGGCGAAAAGGGTGGGAGCCAGAGAGGCACAGAGCAGAGAGCTACTATAATAATAATAATAATTCTTGGATTTGATACAGCGCCTTATCACGTCGTAGAAACGTCTCAAAGCGCTTCACAGAATAGACTGTAAAGTGAAAAAGACTGTACATTTTTGTGGGCGAAACGCGGCAGCCAATTGCGTGCAGCAGCGTCCCCACAAACAGCTGTGGATTGAAGTGACCAAATTGTTATTTTCATAAAGGATTATTACCCCCAGAAAGCGATCTGCCAATTGACTTAACAACTCAGGCTCCTACTGACTGCGAGGTCCTCTCGCTTGTGACGAGGTGGGCGCTCTAACCGCTGAGCTACAGGAATGACTGTGCCTCACACAGCGAGAGTGTGCGTATCCGTTCCGTGTCCCTGGTGAGAGCGTGCGCGTGTCTCTGCCTTACCCCGGATGTGTGCCTCCTGAGCAAAGTGTGACCACAAACCATACTCATCGCCTTCCTGACGTGTGGTGGAGCTGTTTCCCTGCCCTGAGCCCTCGCACTCGCCCTCTATATGATTCCGAGGGTGAGGTTGAACGTCTCTGTCGCTTATGCTCCAGTGATGATTAACTCACTCACTCACTCACTCACTGACTCACGGACTCACTCCAAATGTCACAGTTCCACAGCTACGGAAACAGTCTTTAATCTCCCTCTGCTCAGACCCACTGCTGTCTCTCCCTCACTGTTTGATCGAAGCAGGTTTATTTAAAGGCGAAATTAAGTCACATCAACATCTCCATCAACAGCGTCCGCTTCCCCCCCCCCCCACCAAACCCCAATTTAATTTTGTGCGTGCAAACACACACACACACACACACACACACAACACCCCAGTCACGACCGTTTGTGTCTGAAAGGGATGGTGGAAGCTGATTCGATAATAACTTTTAAGAGAGAAGTAGATAATTATTTGGGGAGGACAACTTTGCAGGACTATGGGGAGAGCTCGGGTGGGGGTGTGGGGGGGGGGGAGTGGGGTTGATTTGGAAAGCTCTTTTCAAAAAGTCGGCGCAGACACGATGGGCCGAATGGCCTCCTTCTGTGCTCTGTGTTGCCGTGCGCGGTTGGCTGCCGTGTTTCAGCCACACCGTACGCATTTTTACAGTAATAAAACCAGTATTGGCCGGGAACAAACACTCAGCAGGTCCAGGCAGCATCTACGGAGGGAGAGGAAAGTCAGTGAGTAAACGTTTCAGGTCGATGAATGTTCGTCAGAACTGGCGAAAGCTCAGCGACGAAAGGTCGCCGACCTGAAACGTTAACCTACTTTCTTCTCTCTCTCCCTCTCTCTATAGATGCTGCCTGACCTGCTGAGTGTTTGCTTCCAGCCACTTCTGGTTTTATTTCAGGTTCCCAGCAGCATCTGCAGCATTCGGCCGTTTTACAATATACTCTGTGAAACGCTGGGGGGAAAGCGCGGAGTGGAGAGGGGCTTCCCCAGGCCGGCTGCGGGGTTGGCCTGACCCACGTCCCTTGGTTCTGTGACCTGCGCCACCGCCCCCCCCCCCCCACCCACCCACCCACCCCACTCCCCTGCCCCGGTGACTTACGGCGGTGACTGTGATGAGGATCCCGGTCGTGCACAGCACAGTGTCGCTCACGGTCTCTGCGCTCTTGAACGGGTACTGGATGTCCTGATCGTCGCAGTAGAAGCCTCGCTCGTAGGGTTTGACTGCGTTTAACTCCACCATGAAGAACGGCAGAGAGGCTGTGGGGAGGGGGCGGGGGGTGGGGGGAGAGAGGGGGAGGACAGGAGAACGTTAGCAGGCGGGTGGGAGGGGAGATCATGTAATAACAATAATAAAGTGTTATTAATTTAACACTTAACACTTTATAACAACAATAATAATCCTTGCATTTGATGCAGTGGTTTATCACGTCGTCGAGACGTCTCAAAGCGCTTCACAGGATACACTGTAACGTGGAGTGACTGTATATTGTGTGGGCAAAACGCGGCAGCCAATTGCCCCCATCGACGTCCCACCAAACAGTCGTGGATTGACTGACCACATTATTATTATCGTTGTCTTTATTTCCCCCCCACCCATCTTTTTGTAAAGTGAAGCGAGTTTCTATCCCATGTCCTGGAGCACCACCGCATGCCGTTTGCCCACAAAACACACAGTCACTACACTGTGCAAAATACACAGTCGCGACACTACCCTGCATGAAGGGCGCTATATAAATGCAAGTTGTTGTTGTCATTAATATTAATGATTAATAACTGGCCTCACTGGCTTGTGCTGTGAGTGCCGGGTGGTACACTCCACACACGCGTGTGGGGGCTTGCCACACGCCCACACGCACACGCACAAAGAGAGAGGGAGAGAGGAAGTCCCTGCTCATACCTGGCATTCCATTTGATAGGATCTGACCTCGGTCTCCCCTGCAGTCTGGCACAGCACGTCACACTGAGATAAGAGACAGCTAAGGGAGAAGGAATGTGACCCCCATCCCTATCCCCCACCCCCCCCCACAGGAGCTCAGCAGCTCTTGCTCCCCACACAACAACAACAGCAGCAGTAACTTGGGGCAGCGTCTCGGAGGGCTTGAACCCCCACACGTAAGGAGTCACTGTGTTCCCCACTCAGGGTTAATTAATCAACGCCATGTCACGTCCTCTTCCCCTACATGTACTCACCCAGACACAGGGACTCCTCCCTTATTGGGGGTGGGGGGGGGAGGGAGCTGGAGCCCGGACCCTCACTGTACCTTAGTTTTGACAGCGACCCCCACCCACCCCAAGCTGGAAACCAGAACATTAAATCCAGGTGTTTGTCAGTGAGCTGGACACAGACTGGCACAGCCCTCCCTCACACAGCCCACCTTCTCCCATTCAGAAACATAGGAACAGGAGGAGGAGGAGGAGGCCATTCAGCCCCTCGAGCCCATTCCGCCATTCCATCAGATCATGGCTGATCTGTACCTTAGGTCCAATTGCCCCGTATCCCCTGAAACCCTGAGCTAACAAATAACCATCCATCTCCAGCCTTGAATTTGTGAATGGATCCAACCATAAGCCATAAGCCATAATGTCTCGACTACCTGGACTTTCCCTTCAAGACCCATCCCCTCCCACTCCCACACACACCTGCACATGAATCACTGTTAGCAGGTCAGCTTGTTGCCAGTACCTGTCACGCTGTGAGCGGGGAGTGGGTGGGCAGGAGCTGGCAAAGGGTGAAAGCAACACAGAACGAGAGGGAGAGAGAGAGAGAGATGTTCCCCTCCTGAGTCACCGGTGCATAGGAAAGGTTTTGTGTGTGTTGAGCGCTTTGAGACGTCTCAACGATGTGATAAGGCGCTATATCAAATGCAAGGATTATTATTCTTGCGATCTCAGTTTTGGGTGGGGGTGGGGGGGGTGAGGACCTGTCAGTGTGCCTGTTCTGTGCGGGTTAGGGGGGGAATTTACCCCACTCACCTCTTCCCCCCGCACATGCCTGCCTGAGACCACACACCACAGCCCAGCACAGGAGCCAACATGCAGGTCTGATCATTCCACTATCGGTGTCTCTTACACAGATCTTTATCTGGTCTTTCACAGAATCTCAGCAAAGCCTCCCACGGCTCCACCATGTCTCTCCCCGTCTGACCCTCACATGGGGTGGGGGTTGGGGGTATGTGACTCTGACCCAATCCTGCCCCTTGTGTCTGGTCCAAACGCGTATTGCACGAATAAAAGAAAAATAATAATTTGGTCGCTCGATCCCCGGCTGTTTGAGGGAACGTCGCTGTGCACAGTCGGCTGCCGCGTTTCGCCCACAAAACAGGCAGTCAGTTCACTTTACGCTTTGAGATGTCGCAAAGACATGATAAGGCGCTGTGTCAAATGCAATGATTATTATTATAAATATTTATTATCATCTTTACGAACAGCCACAGACGGGAGCTCGGTTTAACATCTTATGGTGGGGGAGTGGGGGTGTAACAAACACATCCTGTGATTCCCATCCCCCCCATCCCACCCCTTACGAGCCGAGCGGGGGAATTAGTGCTTGTGATCACAGACCCCGGTGAGAAGCCACATTCACACCCACATCCTTTTCCTCCATCTTTGTTACTGCAAAGCCATTCATTGTTTGTGTCGTTCAGGTTTCCTGACTGAGAGCAACACCCAGCGTTTATTACATTAACCTCTGTCCCCAACACAGCAGCTCAAGCTCAGCCCCTCACTCTCTCACCTCCGGGCCAGGATGCTGTGGATTCCAGCCCCATGTTGGGGGAAGAGTTGGGGAGGGGGGGGAGGTGGGCTACAGATTGTTGGAGGCACCGTCCTTCAAATGAGACGTTAAACCGAGCTGGGAAAGAGAAAGGGAGTTTCTCCCGGTGTTCCTGGCTCCCCGGTTAAATTGCTCAGTCACTTTGTTATGTGTGGGAACTCATTGTGTGGAAATTCACTTTATCCGTGATCCAGATTTACATACATTGTGATCAGCACATCGGATGTGACCCTGATTTACACTCACTCTCCTCTGTGTGTGTGTGTGCGCGCGCGCGCGTGGGCATGTGTGTATGTGTATGTTTTGCCCACAAAAATATAGTCAATTAATTTTACAGTACATTCTGTGAAGTTCTTCGAAACTTTATCAAAAACATGTTAAGGCGCTGTACCAAATGCACGGATTATTATTATGTGGTTGTGTGTGAGTGAGAGTGAGACTCTATTCTGGAACCATTCTGAGCTTCTGGGAAGATCGTAGCTGTGGGAGTGGAGAGCCCTCACGGTGAAGTGTTGAGAGTCTCCGAGTCTCACAGCTAAACAGTCCACAAAGTAACCTTGAGTTTGGTCTCCAGTCAGCACAACAGCCGACAGCGAGGAGAAACCCCGACAAGCTTACAACTTAATCCATTATTCAGCAAAGATGATGACTTTACTCACACCTCTCGGTCATTCACTGCGTAACTGTTGGTGGGACGTCGCTGTGCGCCCACACCACACCACACACAGTCACTACACTATTAGCAATTCCCTGCGAGGTGCCTTTGTGACAGTTTAACGCAGATAGACGCTATGCCAAACAGGATTGTTAGCATTATTACGCTCACAAAACACACAGTCACTGCACCTTACGATGTGTCCTGTGAAGCGCTTTGAGTCATCTCAACGATGTGATAAGGCGCTGTATCAAATGCAAGGATTATTATTGGTATAGTATTATAATAATACATTTGCCTGTTTGTGTGTAGGCCTGGACACATGTAGTGACTGTATATTTTGCTGACCACTCGTCAGTACGTGTCTTCCCCCACACCCCACAGCACTGCACTGGGACGTGAAGCTCAGATACCCCTAAGGAGATGAGTTTGACCCAGCGACGCTGAGCTCAGACTCCAGGCTGGAGGCAATGTGCTTCCCTTCTCTGCGACCATCTCATTCCTCAACTAACTTCTCACTTCCAGAAACAGCCACAAGTTCCTCCTCAGAACCCTCTGCTTCCCCTGTCTGCTGCCTGCCCGCTCACCCACACACACTGAAAGCATTTCCCAATTAATGTTCCAACAGAACCTCTCCTCAGCCTGGACTCTGACCCCGTTTCTGGGTGACGAGTGACTGTAAGGGTGAACATTAACTCGATTTCCTCATCACTGACATTGACTGCACAGCCAGTCAGGCACCAGGCAATACTCGTTACAGCTGCTGATCAGTCACCAGTTACAGTGATTCAATACTGAACTTTTTGTGGGGAAATTGTGTGTGTATGTGGGGGCAGGAGGTGGGCGGAGAGTGGGTATGGGTATGGGTAGGGGTGCGTATGTGTGTGTGGGGAGGGAAGTTTGTGTGTGTGTATCTGTAGGAGAGTATGTATGCGTGTAGGGGAGCGTGTATGTGTGTAGGGGGGTAAGGGAGTGTGTATATGTGTGCGCGGGTAGGGGAGTGTGTTGGTGGGTAGGGGAGTGTGTGTGTGAGGGAGGTGTGTGTGCAGCGGGCTGTGTCTGTCAGCCTGTGCGCTGAGGTTAGTGTAAAGTCAGTGACTGTTAGCACAGTTACAGCAACAATCCTCGCATTTGATACAGCGCCTCATCACGTCGTCGAGACGTCTCAAAACGCTTCACCGAATATACCGCAAAGCGCAGTGACCGCGTATTTTGCGGGCGAGAAACGTGGCGGTCAATTGCGCGCAGCGACGTCCCCACAAACCGTGGCGGATTGAAGCGACCGAATCATTATTGTTTAGCACAGATGGTACAAAAGCCAGGACCCGTCACTTGCTCTGGGCTCGGAGGGTAACGTCTGACCCAGACTGTCTGTTGCCGAGGATATAGCTTACCCAGGATGATGCAGATCAGGTCCAGACAGAGGAGCATTTTGCTGCACATAGCTTCCTGGTGACCCTCTGCCCCTGGCTCGGGCTCACAGCTCATGCCCCCGCTCTCAGGGATCCTGACCACGGCTCCAGTAGGGGTGTAATCTCCATCCGACTTGTACTTGGCCATGATCCGGATTCTGGGCTGCAGATCCCACCTCGAATTCCCCGTTCCACCCCGAAAACAATTCCCAAATCTGTCAAAACGTGGACGATCCCAGGCGAGTCGCTCAACAGCTGGAAATCTTAATCCGGTGTCAAACCTTCCTCTTCACAAACATCCCCGTTACTCCACGCTCCCCCCCCCCCCCCCGCCCCTTCTCCCCACAAACACACTCCGCAACTTTTCCCCTCGAAGTCCTTAAATTTGCCAAGAATTCCAGGCTTCGCTGTTCCTCTCTCTCTCTCTCTCTCTCTCTCTCCCCTCTCTCACACACTGCGCCCCCCCCCCACAAAAAAAAAGAAAATCACAATTTTTGGGGGGTGAAAAAAAAGAGGCACCAAAAAATAAAGTTTCTGTTAAAAAGTTGTTTTTTAAAAGTTTCCAGAGAAGTGGCAAAAAATTCTTTTTTTTTTCCCCCCCCAACAAAAAAATAAAGTGGGAGGGAGGGAGTGAGGAGGAGGAGGAGTGGGGGGGGGTCCAGATAGATTCCTTTAGAAGTTGTCAGGGTTGGTTTGCTTTGGGGGAAAAAAAAAGTTGATCAAAACTTTCCAGAGAAGTTGGAAGAAGTTTTGTGCGAGTGTGAGTGACTGTCTCTTCTCTTTCACTCTCTCTCTCTCTCTCTCTCTCTCTTTCTTTCTCTCTTTCACTCTCTCTGTTTTCTGCTGCAGTTTGTCAGCTGTGTGGGTCAGACTCGGATTCCAGGTTAATGTGTGTGTGTCAACAGCAGAGCCCCGATACGACTTCTCTCTCTCTCTCTCTCTCTCTGTGTGTTGTGTGTTGTGTGTTGTTGGTGTGTGTTGTGTGTGTGGTGTGTGTTGGGCTTCACTCACTCTCTGACCAGTACCTGTGTGTCTGTGTCTGTGTGTAACACTCTCTGCTTCCAATCCACTAACTCCGGATCCCAGGGGCCAACCTCCTGACTGACACCCACTCACTCACTCACTCACTCACTCCCACTCCACTCACTCACTCACTCCCACTCCACTCACTCACTCACTCGATTGGAAATTGACAAAACAAAATCCACATGTGCACTGGGAGGAGCACTGGCAGTTGTCTGGGGGGCGATTGATCTCAGTTTTTTTCCCGTTTAGACAGAGGGGGAGAGAGGGAGAGGGGGGGGAGAGGGAGAGAGGGGGGGGGGAGGGGGGAGAGAGGGGGGGAGAGGGAGACGGGAGGAAGAAGAGGGGAGGGGGCGAGAGAGAGAGAGAGAGAGACGGGGGAGAAGTGGGGGAGGAGAGAAAGGGGGAAAGGAGATGGGAGGGGGAGAGGAGATGGGAGGGAGGGGGAGAGAGAGGAGATGGGAGGGAGGGGGAGAGAGAGGAGATGGGAGGGAGAGGAAGACGGGGGGAGAGGGAGACGGAGGGAAGGAGGGAGGAAGAAGGGAGAGAAAGATGAGAGGGGGGGGAGAGAGAGATGGGGGAGAGAGAGGAGGGGGAGGGAGAGATGGGGGAGAGAGAGGAGGGGGAGAGAGCGATGGGGTGGGGGGAGAGAGACAGGAGAGGAAGAGAGAGAAAGGGGGGAGGAGGGGGCAAACGGGACAGCTTCCCCAGGCAGAGGGGGTAATAACCCCTCGAGCAGTTCGGAAATGATCACAAACTGAGTCAACATCACATTTTGAATCAATATTGTCCCTCTCGGTGGTCGGGGGGTCAGTGCCCCTCTCTGGTACCCAAGTGCAACAGCCCTTGAAAGCCAAGAATTTGCGCAGGAAAAATAGTTTTTAAATGTATTAATTAATTGAAAAAAAGCGGCCAAATGGCCTCTCTCTGTGCTGTAAAATATTAGTATTGTGTTATTCGGTGTTTCGCAATGTTTCTGAAGCTGGAGCACAGGACAAAAAGGGAATGTCTCTCTCTCCCCCCAGTGATCCTGACTTAGTCAGTCCTCCACATTATTAGTTGAGTCACCTCACGTCTGAGATCTCTGCCCCCGACTGTCTGCAAAAATCCAACAGTCACTACACTTGGCAGCAATCAGTGCCGGGCACTTGGAGACGTCTCAACGTGATGCGGTGCCATAAAAACCCCCTCAAGGGCTTTCTCTCACTACACTCACTGAGAAACCAGAGTTCCTGGCACTCATAGCACACTGTGCAACAACAACTTGCATTTGTACAACGCTCTCCACGCAGGAGAGTGTCTCCCAATTCCACACATTCCACAACCCGGAATGTGAGAGACAGTCTGTGTGTGTATGTGTGTGTGTGTGTGTGTGAGTGTGTGTGTGTGTGTGAGTGTGTGTGTGTGAGTGGGTGAGTGTGTGTGAGTGAGTGTGTGGGTGTGTGAGATAGTGTACCAGTGTGTGAGACAGTGTATGAGTGTGCGTGTGTGTGAGACTGTGTGTGAGTGTCCGATAGTGTGTGTGAGATAACGTACGAGTGTGTGTGTGAGATAATGTAGGATGAGTGTGCGTGTGACTGAGTGTGTGAGTGAGACAGTGTATGAGACAGTATGTGCGTGTGTGTGTGTGTGCGTGCGTGAGAGAGAGACTGACCTGACAGTGAGTCTGAATCTCTCACTGTCACCCTCGAATCCACAAGCGTGCGAACCAGAGGGTGAGAGTGTGAGGTGAGCCGGGCAGGTGGGTGGGGACAGAGCCCGGGATCTTACTGTGAGATGTGGACAGGTATGAAGCTGATAAGTAACTCTCAGCTCTCAGCAGCTGGAAGCTCTCAGGCTCCCTCTGCCGGGCCAAGAACATCAGCACAAGTCCGACACCAGCAGCTCTGCACCGCCGACGAAGCCTTTATATTTTGGCTGAAACTCAGCAGCGCTGTTGTCTGTGACTTACAGTGAGTTACCAGGAGCAACAACAACAACTTGCACTTAACACAGCGCCCCTCACGCAGGGTAGCGTCCCAGAGCGATTGACAGTGGCGGAGCACGACGCAGAGCCAGTGGGAGGGTGAGGGGACCGTAGCCACGGTCTAATAATAATAATAATAATCCTTGCGTTTGATACAGCGCCTCATCACGTCTTAGAGACGTCTCAAAGGGGCTTCACAGGATACGCTGTGAAGTGAATCGACTGTTTTGTGGGCGAAAGGCCAAACGGGAGGAAGGTCTTCAGGCGTGACGATGGGAGATGGGGATGGAAGGGACAAGAAGGGATAGAGGAAGAGTGTTCCAGAGTTTTGGGGCGTAGTGGCTGAAAGCGCGGCCAGCAACGGGGGACGGAGGACACAACGGACGTGCATTTTACATGCAGTCTACATTTGGGCTGAAACTCAACAAAACGTCTGTGATCGAACAAAGATCTACAGTGAGTTAAATAGGAGCAACAGTGCAGATCCCAGAGCTCCAGTCAACAGCGAAAGAGGTGTCTGATTCATCCACTCTCTCTCTCTCTGCTCTGGCTCAACAGGTTATGGGGTCTACATGGGGTCTATGAGTTCCCAATCCAGGCTGTCACTGCAGCGCAGTGCTGGGGAGAGTGTGGCATTGTCAAGAGGTGCCTTTACTTTACTTGAGACCTTTAACTGACCACCTGGTTCCCTTGTTCAGGTGGGAAGGAGAAAAGAAATGTGTTTCCAGAACGCTGTCCTGATCAACATTCTTCCAGATAAAATATCTCGTTCACTTTGTGGCTGTTTGCGGCATTACTGTGCATAAAGCGGCTGCTACGTTTGCCTTAAGGAATACACAGTCACTACACTTGCCAGTGATTTTGTGTGAAGGCAACTGCCATCCAGTCCTGGAGAGAAATAGCGAGAGAGAGAGAGAGAGAGAGAGACGGAGAATTGGCAAAGAGAGAAAGAGAGTGTACAATAGGGTTTGAAGGTCTTTGTGGGATCCCCTGTGAGATACTATTATTGAATTGATTCTGTGTGTTAATTAGACACAGATTTGCATTGAGTGTGAGATGAGACTCTGCTGTTAATTCCCTCGGACTCGCTGTCGCTCTATGGGTGACTGCTGTGACTCCAATCTCCATCCTGCGCAGCCCCTGACTGACAATACTGCTCAACAAACAACTGAAAACCAACCTCCACACGACAGTGAGTGCCTCAGTCAACACATCCCGTCCACTTTCAGCTCCAATTTCCTTTTACTCTGAAGTTGGCTTTCCTCCGAGCCTCACCCACTCCCTCCTTCAAGATCCATCTCGAGACCCTCCTCTTCAACCGTGCCTTTGGTTACCCTCCTACCCCAACCCCCCCTCACCCCACCTCCCGATCTCAACTACCAGCTTGGGTGCGGTCCTCAGACTAACCAGCGTCTTGGGACATCCTCCAGACATGAAAGGCGTTGTGTAAATGTAGTTTGCTGCTGCTGTTGCTGTTGTTGAGTGGACACCATTTGATACTTCATCACGAGTGTCCATCCTGTGGATCCCAGCAGTGAGGAGGCATCTTACTCTCCCAGTGTCGTGGCCAACAATCCTCCACACACACTGATCGTTCACATCAAGGCCTGTGTGAAGGACCTCACTGTGCATTTCTTTGCAGCACTTGGCACAAGTCCCTGTGAAGTGTTTGAAGATGTTTTGATGTTAGAGCTGTAATCAATCATGAGAGACGATGCAATCGCTGATTTAGGGTTGGCTCGGGGCGAGGGTAAGGCTGTGAGCCCCACAGTAACTCACACACCCAGGACAGCACCACCCTGAACCCCAACCCAACCCCATCACAGCACTGGAACTGCACACCACACCTCAGGTAAACAATAATATCAGCCCAGTCTGACATCACGCACTACAGTACACAGTCCACTACACAGGAACACGCAGCGCTGCCTCCACACAGTAACACACATTAACAATAATACTTGCATTTGATATAGAGCCTCATCAATCTTTAAGACATCTCTCAAAGTGCTTCCCGGAAGTGAAGTGACTGCATATTTTGTGGGCGAAATCCATCAGCCAATTGCGCACAGCAGTGTCCCACCAACAAGTCGTGGATTGAGTGACCCAATTATTATTTTTTTTTGAAATTTTTTTTTGAAGGGATTATTATCCCCAGTGCTGCCTCCAAACAGGAACACACAGGTACACACACAGTGACCCCCCACGCGTTGCTATAATATATATATTATATTATACTTGATGTGAATCAAGTATAATATAATATAATTGTGGAGTCCTGTAGCTCAGTAGTTAGAGCACTCGCTTTGCAAGTGAGAGACCTGAGTTCAATTCCAGGCAGAGGGCGAAACCTCGGGCAAGTTTCCTTACTCCACACAGAGCCTAATAATAATCCCTCCAAAACCAAAACAATAATAAATTGGTCATTTTCAATCTACGACACTTTGTGGGACATT